TAGATATAAATTTCCCTGTGATCAATTATAGATAACTTAAAAACAGAATCTAGGATGATGTCTTCTCTTTGCCTCTGGGGGAATAATGAGGAATAAGGAAAAGGTTATCATTTAGGTGCTAAAAAACATTTCTGAAAGCAGTGGAACAAAGCAAAATAATATCTGGGTTGAAGCCAGAAGAGTAATAGGAAGCAAATGAAGGCAGGCACTGGCAGTTTTGCTGAATCTCAATTTGGTTCCCTGGTTCTGCTGTTGTGTTAAATTTCATTGTGTGATGGGTTGATTAACAATCTTGGCAAACTGAGAATACAGTTTTAGGTCTTGGCTACTTTGGCTGTGGTTTTGTCTAAATCCATGTGTCTAAAGCCCTAGCATAACTTCTCTTCTCAATGACTCAGTTCACTTGCCCCGTACTAGAACATTAAACGGATGATAAAGAACATAACAAGAATTTGCCTTCTAACCTGTCAGACTGAAAAATGTGTTAGAAAGTGAGTTGTGTTCCTTTGCTTTCAACTTCTTTGGATGCCAGGAAACTGGAAATTTCTATAAACTGAGATACAGTTCTGCACATGAGTGTCTAACTCAGAACCTAAGCTGGTGAAATTGGGTTGTTAATGATTTCACGATTCAAAATATTTTTCAAATTAAAAAGACATGTCAAAAAAAAAATAAAGGCATGTCAGTGGATAAAGATGACCTGAGGTATGAACATTTGATCTTCCCTCCTCTCTTTCCCCAAGTCTGAGTGACCAGGATTGACAATGGTTTTATCAAACTTCTGAAGTCTGGTAGCCATTGCTTCCCTGCATTTTGCAAATTTTGAGTACCTACTATGTACCAGATATTGGGAGAGAAAAATCACAAATAAATTTATGTAGAGCCATCTAAAGTATTATAGTGCATATTAACAGTCAGTATGGTATAGTTCAGACATCATGACCTTTGAAACCAGTGAGTTCTGATTTTGTGTTCTAGTTCTACTATATATTGGGGATGTGACTTTCTCCTTAGAAATGAATTTAAGCAGTTTTCTACTCTGTAAAATGTAGCAGTGCTAATAAACATCTGAGATCATATATGAATGGCATCATGCACTTAACGCACTTTGTACATAAGCTTTCAGTGTGCATTTGAGATATGTTCCCATTATTGTTGGAGTCCTGGTACGGCACTGTAGGATAAGAACTAGTGAATCAAACCTACCAGCTGCTCCTTGAAAACCCTATAGAGGTCACTATGAGTCAGAACTGACTCTACAGCACTTAACAACAACACCATTATTACTATAATTGATTAGCAAATGACCATTTAAATTTACTTTCACATATACATTTTTTCTATAATTTAAATCTTAGTACGGCTGCTAACTGCAAGATCAGCAGTTGGAATCTACCAGATGCTCCTTGGGAGAAAGATGAAGATTTCTGCTCCCCTAAAGATCTAGACAGGGTTGCTATGAGTCAGGACCAACTTGATGGCACTCAATAACAACAAAGATTTACAACCTTGGAAATCCTATATGGTGTTGCTATGAGTCTGTAATGACTCGATAGCACACAACCACCATCACCACAGTTATTCTTATAAAACAGATAAGGAAACTAAGACCTAGAAAAGTTAAAGATCTTCCCAAGTTTGTACACGTAATAAGTGGTTGAGTCGGGATTTAAACAGAGGCCTCTTGATTTCATATTCAACATCTAGACTCTAAATCATTGCCAAGGTTCTCCAATTGAGTTAATTAATCCAAATGTTATTGTTAAGTGCCATCAAGTCAATTCTCATTCATCATGACCCTGAATAGGGTTTTTGAGGAATGGCTGGTGGGTTTGAACCACTGACCTTGTGGTTAGCAGTCCAATGCTTAGTCTACAGTGCCACACTAGAACTTCAATTAATCCAAATAAAAATCATTTAATAAATTTACTGATTAGGACAAATTTACCATAATTATTATTTTAAATAATTTCAATAACCTTTCTCAACTCTGATGAATTAACTCCTCTTATGCCATTTAATACCTTTCTCTTCAATGCTATTATTTTTCTCTTATTTCTTTGTTCTCCCAGTGGAGAGTATGAACAGGCACTATAGGAAAGAGATTGTGTAGTAGAAAAATGGAAGGGAATTATAGCTAGATGGACTGTATTCATTATCATTTACATGCTATTTGACATAATACAGACTACTTAGTCATTTCCTCAGTTATAACAAAACTAAAAACCAACCCCCCTACTGTGACCCTATAGGACAGAGGAGAACTGGTCCATCTTTATGGAAGCTGACTGCCTCATTTTTCTTCCACAGAGAGGCTAGTGAGTGTGAACAACCAAGCTTTCAGTTACCACCTCAATACTTACCCCTCTTTGCCACCAGGCCTCCATCAATTATAACATGAGGATGTTTTTGTTTTATCTAACTACCTCCTAGTGTCATTGTGAGGTTCAATGATCAAACGTAAAAAAAGACTGTAATATACATGTTGTTGTGAAGTGCTGTTGAGTCGATTCCAACCCATAGTGACCCTGTATAGGGTTTCCAAGGAGCAGCTGGTGAACTTAAACCACCGACCTTGAAGTTCAAACAAACTTGCAGTCTGACGCATTAACCCACGGTGCCACACCAGGACTCCTTAAGATATATATATATATATAAGTTTTTATTGTGACTTGAGTTATAGTTTACATGGGAGAACATTGGTTTTACACTCACATTCATCCTAACGTATTGTAAGATTTTTTATCACAGCTGATTCTTGTAATATTTAAAGATGATGTGGTTAAAGGAAATGAATTGAGTTTTCTTCTTCCACTATTGATGGGATTTTGACACTATACCACTGCTTACTATTTAATGTTATTCAGGTTTATAACATATGCAAAGGTTACTACCAAGAAGAACCATGGAGGAGTTTGCAACAACAACAAAATATAGAAACCCGTAGAGTCTTCATGGGCTTGGTTGAAGCCATTTGGTGCTGACTGAATCATATGATGGCAAGACCTCAATTCAGGCAACAGACATATGGTGCTCTATCTTAAACACCCACAGACAAAAGACAGGTAAGGTAAGCATATGAGAGAAACATGGTAGAAGAGGCTAGACAGTGGTGAAAACAGAACTGAAATTAGTGCCTTGAATGAACACAGGCTTCCTGATTCTTCTTCTTCTTCTTTTTTTTTTTTTTTTACCATGAATTATGTGGACTTATATATGGGAGAACATCAGTTTTACATTCATCCTATTGCATTTTGTTTCATTGCAATGATTACAATCCCCTCCATGCATCATCAAATAACCAAAGGGTACACCCCACAGGCCTGCCACCTGCCCCTGGCTGTTAGCACACAGCCCCTCTCCCTCCCTGAGTCCCGTGTCCCCAGCCACTCCATCTGTCCACGTCATCATCTCTGTCTCCATGCCTGGCATCACTGCCTCTTTGGGTAGGATCACACTCTCCACTGTTTGAACTTGATGCTTCCAGGGACCTCCGTTCCTGGGCTACAAAATCAATCACTCCCCTCCTTTTGTCATAAAACATCTACCTCTACATTTCTGACCCTCACAGTCAGTCCTGATGGCAACTATCTGATGCTTCTTAATAAGACACTGGTGGTTGTGTGCCACTGAGTCGGTTCCAAATCATGGCAATCCTATATAGGGTTTTCAAGGCTGTAGGATCATCACTAGACTGTGAACCACAAGCTCGGCAATTCAAACCCACCAGCTGGTTCTCGGAAACCCTATACAGGGTTTGTCCTAATCAGTAGATATATTAAATGATTTTTATTTGGATTAGACACACAAAATAATACAACCAATAATCTACATAGCAATGGAAAGATAAGATGCCATTGCTGTTGTTGTTAAGTGCCATCAAACTGGTTTTGACTTATAGTGAACCTGTATAGGGTTCTTGAAAAGTAGTTGATGGGTTCGAACTGCAGACCTTGTGGTTCAAAGTCCAGTGCTGATTCTACAGAGCCACTCCAGGAGTTCAAGATACCATTGTTATTGGTAAGTACCTTCAATTCGTTTCCGACTCATAGCAACCCTGTATGGGGTTTCCAAGGAGCAGCTGGTGAGCTTGAACCACCGACCTTGTGGTTCAAACTGACTTTGCACATTAATCCACAGTGCCACATAGGACTTAGTTTAAGATGCTATTATAGGCTAATATTTATTAAGAAAAATTGTTTCTTAATGTAACCTGAGTAGTGGAGGGGAAAACAGACACTAGAAAGGCCTAAACATTTCTTTAAGTCAATGGCTATCAAGAAAACAAAGTGTTGCTATTTAAATAGCAGAGGAGTAACTGAAGAAAAGTCATAGAAACAATCAAGGTGGAAATTGCTAATGACAAGTATTGTTGTTAAATGTCATTGAGTAGGTTCTGACTCATAGAGACCTTGTATAAGGTTTCTGAGGAGCAGCTGACGAGTTTGAACCTCCAGCCTTGTGATTCAAACTGACCTTGCGGCCCAGTGTGTATCCTACAGCATCACACCAGTCCTCCAAATGACAAATACAGAAATAGACTTTTGTCTCACTGCCTGATTTTTTTCTTCAACATTTACTCAAGTGGGGTGAATTTGTTGTATATTTTTGGGCTTCCTTTTTGGTGTTTTGTTTGCAATTCATATTGAAAATAAGATCTAAATTCCTGGGCTTTCTTCATTTACTTGAGAACATCTGCCTTGTTATCACTCATTTTTATTCAGAGGCATGAGTAAAAGCTAATCTTAAAAGGTTCTTCACACATAAGAACCAACATCTGAAATGCATCTTTCTCTGCCCACTCAACTGAATGTGAAACAAACTGTCATACACAGAAGAGAGTTTACATGTTAAAAATGATTTAATAAAAGCAGAGTTAGCTCCTGTCAATTGAGAAATTAAAAAGGCTCAAGAGAGTGCATGGTGGAGAGAGGATTTCTGAAGATTCATTTGGAGTAAGTGGTTGTATGAGTACAAAACCATTCCCTCTCCACAAAAAGGAACATGACCGCACACCTCAAGAGGCAGGAGATGTCAACAGAGCTATTAATGGCTTTTATAATGCACTAGACCTCCAGGTCAGTTGAACAGCAAGGTCTGTTGTTCAAACCCACCAGCCGCTCCTAGGAAACCCTAGACAGGTTGTTATGAGTAGGATCCAACTTAATGACAACTTAACAACAACATAATGTCTATTAAGCATTGGGTTGCTAACTATAAGATCTGCAGTTTACCACTAGCTACTCTGAGGTGGTGGGAATCCCTACAGAGCAGTCCTACTTTACTCTAGTTGGAATCCACTCAATGGCAGAGAGGGTTTTGGGGGTGGGGGTGGAGGTGGTGGTATGCTGTGGTGTCCGATCCGACTCATAGTGACCCTGAATAGGCTGTAAATCCTTATGAGAGCAGAAATCCTCATCTTTCTCCCATGGAACCGCTAGTAGTTTCAAACTGCTGACCTTGAGGCTGGCAGTCCGACTCGTAACCACTACGCTACCAGAGTTATTGGGGGTAGGAGATACTAAATTTGGATTGGAAGGGTGCAGAATGAACCAGATCTGACTGCCATGTAGAAATTCTAGGAAATGAGAAAAGGGTAGACAACTGTTAGGGTGGTGAAGCCAGGAAAGTCTTGGATGCTACAGTGGTATTAAGGCAAAAGAGCAAAGAGGCTCTTTTATATAATATAATAGATCACCAAAGAGACCAAGAGGCCAAGCAGCATGATGCTGAAAGAGGACACTAGATCCCCAGAGGCTAAAGGTGATGTAAACTCACTCCAGAGGAGATGCATCAGCCCCAACTGGGGACATGTAGATCTATGGGATCGCTGAAGAACCCACACATTTCCCATGAGAAAAGAGTGAACTCTTTAACTACCTGCCAGGTTCCAAGCTAACTTGGGACAATAAGAGCTTTCTTGTACCTGTCTTTTCCCCTTTCTGTAGCCCAAATGGGAGGGACCTATATATAGTCAATACTAACATGGTTATGAATCGGGCTGCGAACCTCAAGGTCAGCTGTTCAAAACTACCAGCTGTTCCATGGGAGAAAGATGAGGTTTTCTGCTCCCGTAAAGATTTACAGCCTTGGGAGCCCTGTACAGAGTTGCTATGAGTCAGACCGACTCCATGGCACATAACAACAACAACATACTGGCAGAGTCCTGGTGTGGCACTGGGCTAATGTGTCAGACTGCAAAATCATTTGAACTTCAAGGTTGGTGGTTCAAGCTCACCAGCTGCTCCTTGGAAACCCTATACAGGGTCGCTATGGGTCGGAATTGACTCGACGACACTGAACAACAACATAATGGCAGAGAAAAGTAAGGAAGCGCTAGATAGTTTTTCCTCAAGCACAAGGACTCATATAAAACATCCTTAGCTGGCGCAAGAAAACTAAATGGAAAGTGAAGTTCTGAGATTTTAGTATTCATGGGACTGGGATTTTAAATGAGTAAATTTAGATTCTGTTTTTAATGGAAAATAGTTGTAATACTTTTATTACTATAGAAGTCATGAGTCTACTTGAGTTTTCTTTCAGTGGCAGGGGGAAATAAGTTTGAAAGGATGGTGGTGATGGTGGTGGTTATGTGCTGTGGAGTCAGTGCCAACTCATAGTGACTTTGTACAGGGTTTCCCAGGCTATAAATCCTTACGGGAGCAGAAAGCCTCATCTTTCTCCTGCAGAACAGCTGGTAGTTTCGAACTGCTGACCTTGAGGTTTGCAGCCCAATTCATAACCAGTGCTCCTTAGTTTGAAAGGATAGGAGGAAACAAAAATAAAGTAGAATTAAGGTCATCCAGGAGTCATGCTTGTTCAAAATATTCCATTAAATATATTAATTATCCAGCTTTTATCCTTAAATCCCACTCCAGGTGGTATGAGATCTCCCTCAATGGCAGGTGTTGAAGAGGAAATGGAAACAACCAATGACAGTGTAGGTGGGGATTTCATCTTAGTGGGCTTCTCTGGGTGGCCTCAGTTGGAGCTGATCCTCCCCGTCTTTGTCCTGACATTCTACACCACAACAATTGTCTATCATCCTACTGTCTATCCTGGACCCTCTACTACACACACCCATGTACTTCTTCCTCAGAAACCTTTCTGTGCTCGACCTCTGCTTTACTACCAGCATTGTTCCCTAGATGCTGGTGAACATGTGGGGAAGCCACAAGAAGATCAACTATACTGGCTGCGTGGACCAGTATTGGTTGGCCTTGGCAGTTGGCTCCACTGAGTGTGTGCTCCTTGCAGTAATGGCAGTAGACAGCTATGTTGCAGTGTACTGGCCTCTGTGCTATGCCTCATTCATGCACCCCAGGCTGTGTCACCTCCTTACAGCAGCTTCCTGGTCCTCAGACTTTGCCAACTCCTTTCTACAGTCCTCAATGGCCATGGTGGCGCCTAAATGTGGAAATCAATGTGTAGAGCATTTCTTCTGTGAGGTGCTGATCATTGTTAAATTTTCTTGCGTGGATACTGGGCCAACAGAGTCCAAAAAGTTTATCGCCAGACTAATCATTCTAGGGATGCCAGTCTCCATCATCCTGATGTCTTATGTGTGCATTGGCAGAGCAGAAGTGAAAACGCGTTCCTCAGAGGGAAGAAAAAAGGCCTTTGGGACTTGTGCCTCCCACCTGATGGTGGTTTCAATCTTTTATGGGACAATTTTGTTTTTGTATCTGCAGCCAAGGGACAACTACTCCCAGGACCAGAGCAAAGCACTTGCAGTGCTCTACATGATTCTTGCACCTACCCTCAACCCCCTGATCTATATGAGGAACAAGGATGTGAAGAAAGTAGTCAGGAATGTGATGGAGAAGGAGCAGGTATAGGGAGATCAACAGCTGGAAGAACAGGTGAAGCAATTGTAAAAGACATGATTTGGGGAGTAATTATTTTAATTGCATGTGTTTAACTTTTCTTTGGGGTGGAATGGAGTATCTATCAAGTACTATATCCTCTGGCTATTTGGGGGCATCTTTCAGGGTTGAAATTCACCAAAAGGAAGTTGTTGTTTGTTAAGTGCTATCAAGTCAGTTCTGACTCATAGCGACCCTGTATAGAGTTTCTGAGGAGCAGCTGGTGGGTTTAAACCGTGTGGTTTGCAGTTCAGTGCTGATCTTACAGTGCCACAAAAGGAAATTAGCCCTCCTTTAACCACTAGGCAAAGAATTTCTCACTGACAAGTAATTCTGGATCCCACTACTAATGCTTTTCTAGTCTCAATATATAGATCACTAATGTATTCAACATTCTTATCAACGGAGAAAAGATTGAAGTTGTCAAGGACTTCATTCTTCTTGGATCAACTATCAACACTCATGGAAGCAGCAGTCAAGAGATTAGACAACATATTGCATTAG